CTCGAAGTAGACACGTCGTGCTTGACGTTTGCGCGAGCGATGTCTTCAGCCACGAGAAGGGAGCGACGGCTCGGCGACTTCTTCGTGCAAATCGGCTTGGTGGCCGGGCGTGTCGTACGGGATGAATACCAATTCTTTTGATCAGTCCCAAATTTCTCTTTTAAAGGTAGACGGAATTCGCCGGTACCACGAACGACAGTTCTGAAATAGAGGCCCCACGCCCGTCGTCCGCTGCCATCGCCGTCCCCACGAGACCCACGATACGCGAAACGACGAACGCACAGAATGCTTCCGGTTGTCTGTGGAACTTTTTTTTTCAATCAACGTATTTACAGCTTTTTAGAAGCCACAAAAAAATGGGTTTCGTATTTTTTGTATTTTTAATATTGAGTGTGTGCCTTCAGTGACCCACGACTTTGATTAAATTTGGTGGTCGCATCGATACCTTAGAAAACGGCCCGTGACCTCGAAAAAGGGAGTGAGCGAGACTCGAACCGGCCAGTTCTTGATCGGCGGTTTTCGGGCGGAAAGAAACCGAATTTCGAGCCGCAAATTCTGTTCTGGGTAGTTGAGCTCTACCCTGTCAGTGTCCCTTTAAAGCGCATCTCCATTAAGGCTGTATAAACATAAAGAGCAAACCAATTTTAGTGCGGAGTAAATATAGATTTCACATTTAAATATTCTAAGCTTAAATGATAAAACAAAACGGCTAGGTGGCATAAGCTATCGCCCGATCCAAAGGGCTCAGCCGCATTCCTCCATCCATCCATCCATCCAGTTTCAGCGCAATATCAGTGGGGTGAAGCTCTCGGCTACTTCCGTCCGGCCGCGTATACTTATGACGTTTGTCCGGTCCGGCGAACTGCTTCCGATTGCCGCGCTCCCAGCGGGTGTTGGCACTTGTTATTATATTTTAAATAAAATTGATTCATATATCTAATGAAGCGAAATAAAGGTGAAGTTGTTTTGAAGGTGTGAATGGCTTTGAAGCTTGTTATCGTAACTTTCTCTTTCACTCTTTCAACGTGTCTGGGCGCGCTTTCTCTCTCTCCGAACCCGCGCCTCGCGCCTCGAGATGCGCTGGCCTCTGGCGCCGGGAAGTCGGTGGACCGTTAGAAAAAGCGCAAGGGACGCGAGCCGGCGAGTTGTTTAGCTTCTGGGAGTGCGTCGCGGCGCGAGATTCGTCCCGCGTTCGTGCGCGCGCGGCTTTCTTTTCTTTTTCGTGGGAACTTGTTTGTGTAATGTGGTCAAGCATGGATTTTCGTCATCACCACACCACCTGATGTGCCAAGTGAAGAAACAATGACTGCCGAAAGCCGGGACATCAATGGTTTCGAGTTCGAATGGACGTGCGGTACGCTCTTTTGGTCTTCTCTTGCTCAAGTTTCTGATTAGATGTTTGCAACAAGACCTAACTGTCGCAGTGGTAGTGAGTATTAATTGTTTGATTTTGGCAATAGCTACAATGGTTTCCAACCACAAAACCAAATCTTATCATTGTTCAGGATTGCGCTTCACTCGCCGCGAGAAATATGCCATTGTCAAATTACTGGAGACTTCTGTGTCATATCAAGATCGAGCACATATGCTCACTTTAAAAGATGGGAAACTTTTTGCTATGAGCTGTTTATTTGGCACTGTTGTCAGCGATTCACGCGTCTGTTCGCGAGGAGTGAAAATATGAGCCTAAATATTTTTCGATTAACTGAGGATGAGCGATAGAGCGATCCGCTCTGGTTTCCCGTTTCGTTTAGCAGTGACTCACTTGTAAATTTAAGTGATAATATTAAAAACGAATGGGCAGGTTCTCCATGAAGACTGAATACCAAAGAGCTGAGCTGTTTTTCTTGGTACTCATTGCTTAGTTTCCTTTAGTTGCAATTAAGACACCGTCGTCGGTCTTTACTTATATGCTTACTTATGAAATCAAATTTGCAAGAACGCTTATCATCACCTTCGTCGCACGTAACCTTAACGTTTTATCCTGTTTTGTTGTTCATTCCTTTGTTTCTCGTGTGCAAAACAGTGAGAAATTTCGTCTGTATTTTCTACTGTCTGTTGAATAAAAATGAATGCAAAAGGACAAGCATTGCATATTTTTTGTGTATGTGTCACTTTCGTTGCTTTGCTAGGTTTCTGCTGCTTTGCTGCTGGTCTCGCTTTTCAGTGCTGGCTTGTGTGCGTTTCAACGCACATTAACCAGCATTGAAATGCGAAAACCAGCCGCTAAGCAGCAGAAGCCTAGCAAAGCAACGCGCAAACCGGGCAAAAAAAAAAAAAAAAGCTACAATATATATATATTTTTAACTCTAGGTGGCGCAAGCTACCGCCCATCTATCCAAACACAATGGCGCTGCCGTGCTGTTTCGGTTTTGGTTTCGCTGTGCCGCCATGTTGATTTTAGTACAGCCACCAGATACCAGGGGATTCAAATGGCGCTGCGGCCTCTCAGGGTTTTCCAATTTGCGTTCCATGGGCGGTATAGGAAGTTGCACTCCTCTGGCAATATTGCAACGGAGTTTTTCTTCACCTTGTGTTGTACCGCGGGAAAGGCTACAAGCTCGAGCTCCTTGCTCTATGGCACACCTCGGCGGAACAAGCTCTCGTGCACCAAGGGCAGCTGCCAACGCTACGAGCTCGCGCTTCTAGCCTTCGCTGCGGTACAACATAAGGTGAAACGGAGTAATGTAACAACCTTTAAAACATCTTCCGGACCCCGTGAAACATAATATTTCGTGACCTTTTTTTAGTCGTCATTAAAATGGTGAGGTAAGTACCGTAAATCGCGAAGCAGTTTACTTGACGTCCGCTTCCACTGGTGTCTTGGAAGATTGAGTCTACTGAGCGTGAATTCCTGCAGAGGAAATTTTCATTGATAGAATATGGACACGTCAATGAACATTTGATTCCTTCTTGGTAAGATTTATTGCGAAAGTCCGTTACAACCGCCGAACCGCATGTCCTTATATCAGAGAACAATTTATAGCCAGCCTGACATTCTCGCATACATCCGTTTGATGGGCCACGCTACTTGAGCTATACTTCGTTTCAGCTTAGGTCCAGACGTAGCCGATGCTACAAGCGCGAGCTCCGGGCTTTCAGCGTCCCTGCCAAGCACGCGCGCTCGTGCAGTGCAAGCACTGTTCAGGGCTATATGCTGGCGCCTGTAGCATCGGCATGCGTCTGGACTGAAGCTGAAACGAAGTATAGCTGAGCACAGCTGGCGGCGGCGCGAGCAACGTCACGAGGGGAACGTGATGGTGCTAGAGCCATCCCACTCACCCCACGGGTGCGTGTCGCCATCTATTGGTTGAACTAATGCCTTGTTCAAGATGGCTGCCGTGGGACCGCATAAAAGCTCGTGACTTAGCGCTACGATGTGTGGTAACGCGTTTTTAATAAGACGACGAAGTTATTGATGAAAATATTCGTATGCACTTTAATATTTTGCATGTCAATTACTTTACCCATCGTCATCGCCATCATTTTGAAGTCTCACCAACTTTTCCCGTGTAGCACCAACACACTTGGAGTGTGTTTCCACGGGTTGAAGTGCACTAAACTAGCCCGTCTGACAGGGGTATAAGTCAGGCTACTTGAAGGTTGAGTAGAGGAAGGCGTTGCATATGGTTTGGCAACAAGTGGCCTTGCACTTGCAGCCTCTGTTGATCTTAGATGATTAAGGTCTGGTCGAGTCGTGCTGCAATGGCAATGAATGCAGTGACCGTCACTGGGCACAGCGCTGCAAGGGATGTCGCTAGATGTTCGTCATTGATGCCTTGAACAGCATACTGTGTGTTGAGCATCAGTCAGTGCGAGAGTTCAGCTTCGCTAGGGAATAGTGAACGAGGCTCTCTCCCGGCAACTGCATTAGAGCGGTGACCTTGAGCTGCCACGGCAGAAGCGATCACCAAATTGAGCCTGTTCCAAGTTAGGCACTGCTGTCCAGAAAAAGCTTTCCAGGTAGCTCCTCGACCTCAAAACTTGTTGAGAGCGACTGTGAGAAGTGTCAAGGGCTCTCAGGAAGCGTGTCCTAGGGTCCACTCCAGCTCCTCAAACCAGTGGCAGGCCGAAATACCTCTATCGCCACTAAAAGTTAGAAGCAACGCGGAAAAGTCACGCAGGGTAGTCACCTGCACAAAAAAGCTGGTGCATGTTGGTATACGTTCAGGAACTGCTGTAGCAAGATTGTCAGTAGCTGCGTGGTCTACGCCGGGAGAGGCGACGACTCTTGCAAGCCTTGTCAAGACGAGGCAGGGTCGATGGCAGGGTGCTTCGGGCGATGTCGACCAGGAGGCGGTAGATGAGTTCCTCCTTGGATCCAGCGATGTCAAATTTGCAACGAGACAACTCGTCGCTGAAGTATTCTGCTGTAAAGCCGGCGAGGTTGCTTGGCTAGCTTCGGCCCAACTGAAAAAAGGCATGGGGGGCAGGCAAAACAAAAGATGTTGTTCTTCGGAAGAATTTGGCAGGCGGTGCGAGCGGGCAAGTGGCCTTTGGGTTCCTTGACATGGTTGGCTGTCGACTGCGCCAGATGTGAGATGGGTTGGTGACAGGGGCAGCGTTAAATGTTCATTAAAAGGTTCTAATAAACAACACTTATAAGGCAAACTCGTATGGCGGCTATGGCGGCAACAACACGTCGAGCGGGAGCGTCACCCAATGTTGCCAGAATTGCCTGGCTCATAATTTGTAAAGAAATTTTATAACTGAAAGTTTTCACTTTTTGGATTGGCATCTAGCTCTTGGTGCACAGAAGAGTTGTTCATTGTAAGTACAAGATGATCAATAAAAACCAAGAGTTGTGAGCCGGTGCCGAGCAACTTATTTTTTAGTGTGCCTGTGTCCAAGTGTTTTTCTTTTGGTGCACTGTAACATTAAATAAAATTCTCACTTTGCATTTCTTCCATCTGCCGGTGATCATTTCTGCGCTGATCCAAAACAGCTACTACCCAAGCAGGATTGCCAGCTCACCTTGGAGCTAGTAAGTCGACGGCACATACCAAGTTGGAATGCAGGTTTATTGTAAAAAAAAATTGAGTAAAGCATGGGACATAAAAATTGCACAGTCCCTGCTCCAAATTTGGCATCGCACCGCAGGCGTGGTAACACCCATGCAACCCAGCGTAATGACTTGTTATAGGAACAGCTGTCAGAGGTACCATTGCCAGAGCGGGCAAGAACTGCGGCCAGGGCAAAACAGCTCAGCCAAGGCCTCCCATTGGAAGCAAAGGACCAAAACACAATATAAACTTTCCAGACAGAAATACTAAACTATAGTATAAATTACTACCAAACATACCAAAGAACAACAGACCATGCTAACTTGCACAGAGCTACAAAACAGAGTCCACTGAGCTTGGAGAAGTCGACGGACTGCACAAGTCTCTCGGCAAAGCGACCCAAGTCGCTGCAGTGAAAAGCAAACCCCATCACAAAGCTTTCCACAAAATATAGTTTGAGACAACAAACCAAACTTCAGCTGAAATCTGTCAACTGCCCCATTATTGCACAAATGATGCACTAATAAGATTGCTCGCTAAACAAGACATATTATTGCTGTCAGGTTTCTTGTCTCAGGGTTGCATACAAAACAGCCATTTTTGGCAGTACCACTTAGTATTGTTCTGAGAGTTCTATGTGCCTTCCCTAGGAAAGAAACAAAATACTTGGAAGCCACACTGACCCTCCAGCAGTGTAACTGTGCACACTGACAGCTAAAACAATATAAACGTGAGTATGAAGACAAATCACAATTGAAATAAAAAGTACAAAACAGAGGACAAAGGCAGACATTTTTGCAGAGGAACCATGAATTTGAAATTTCAAGCATTCAGCACTTCATCAAAAGAAGTAATGGCGGGAAGTTGCAGTGCTAAAATATGTCAGAAACTCGCAATACATCATGAAACAAATTATTATGCAGGGCAGATATGTTTGTTTTAAAATCCCATGACTCAACCACCAAGTTCACATAGTATTTGCCAGCAGGTATTCCCAGCAAGTATCATCCTTCAGTGAGGTCTCCCATCATACTGGGCTGCATAGGAATGTTTGCTTTCCTGTACCTCAATGAAAGCGAAGAGGAACTGTGCAAAGTGAAGGTTGCATACATTATGTTGAAATTTATTCTTAAGCCTTTAAACTGTCAGTGAAAACTAATCAAATTTCACAGGGTCTGCATGATAAAAGGAAAACGCAAACAACTGAATACAGTCTGAGAATGAACTAGTGTTTTTAACAGTGGTTCTCAAGTGGGGTTCTGCTAACCTTTTGGGTTCCCTGAAGCCTCAGACCATCAGCCGAGCACTGAAACTTTTCTTGTTGATACTGGCTGCCCCACAAAGAATATTCGGAGGGCTGCAAAGTTGCTTCCTTCATTTACCCTTTTGCCCATTGCAATCCTTCAATGCATATAAAGTCACTTCTGCCAATCCCCCAAACATCTGTAGTTCAGTGGTTTATAACCTCAGAATGCATCAGCAGACAACCTCACATTAGGTTCAGATTAATTGGGAGCAAATGATGGCCTGAGATACCCTCACCTCAGCAAAGAGGCAAAAAAAAAAAAAAAGAAACATTGGAGGAAAAGTGTTAGTTTGATCAGCAAGGATTGCAACAACATTTGAGGCAAAACAAAGCAACGAAGAAAAGGCTGAGTCTTGGGAAGATTGCATCGGTGTACAAAACAGCAACCTGATATAGTAGCTCTAAACATTTTACTCGGAACCTAAATAGCAACACATGTTTCTTTGCAAAATGTCAAAACAAGTTATCTGCTTGATGTCTAAGGCCCGTTCACACTCTTGCAACCGAGTACGACCGAGAGAAACCAGACCGGTTTTTAAGCCTCTTGCGACATCTTAGAACCAGCTGCGCAGCAGCGCATCCGGTCATAAGACGTTGCAAGAAGCTAAAAAACCGGTCTCGTCTCTCTCGGTCTTACTCGGTTGCATATGTGTGAACGGCGCTTTACCACACTTTGTTATTTATCCAGGCTCCGCGACTATAACAACACAAAAACAAACTTGCCACAAACAAACTCTGACCACTCAAAGAGAAGAACAAAAGGAAGCTGCTCAAACCCAAAAGAGATTCCGTTTGCCGGACGACCTCCGCCGATCTCGGAAGCAAAAATGAAACACGCAGCAGAGTATCACTAGTTTCCCGGTTATCTCGGAAGCGCTACCACTTCAAGAGCAGAAATCAAAGTTCCTGCGAGACAGATTGCCTTTGTAGAACTCGAGAGTGAGCCACCGAAGGTGATGCAGGGTTTCTCCTAGAGACTCGGAAACTTGCAATTCTGAGCTTCTCGAATGCAACAAAAAAGACATTCCCCAAGTAGCTATACCCTCGCGAGTTGTCCCACAAGCTTTTGCTTCCTTCCTGAGGAGCTCCTAGGACTGGACAATGCGAGCGATGTTGCGCTGCACCAGGAGCTCGTCCAGCTGCACGTCCCTGTCGGTGGAGGTGTCCACGAGGCGCACCACCAGCCTGTGGGCGCCCTGGACGCCCGTCCGGTCGTCGGGCAGCTTGGCCACAATGCGGGCCACAAACTGCCGCTCCTGCACCAGGTTGCGGAAGTTGAGGCAGTCCACCGGGCTCCAGTCGCTCTGCACGGGCGCCACTCCTGCACAAACAAGTCTCCCAAATTAAATCTAAAATATTGCATCACAACTCAAACTAGCAAGTATTTTGTAACGAGGAATGCAAAAATCCGCGAGACACACCACTGCGCACTCATTGACAGGAAATTTTGGACTCTATTGATAGCTGGTTTGTTTGTTTACATTTTTGGTGCCGTTCAAATGGCATTTACCTGACAAAAGCACACAAAACATGTTTTTTCCAGACAAAGAAACTGAGACTGGCTAAGGAGCATCAACTTTCTCTTTTGCAGCACCGGGAGAGCCATTATCGCCTTTCAGCTCACGTTTCCTTCTGTGTCAACAAACATGTTTTTTTGGCTTTAACTAAGTGTTCAGGACATGTGGGTAGTGAAGATGCCAGGCGACCCTTGAAGGGGTCAATGCAATGCACGTGGAGCAAGTACAGTCTTAGCTCGCATTGCTTGTGGCTAACAGTCTGTGGCTAACAGTCGAAACGCGAGCAATCAAGTAGACGACAACTTGGCCCTCGTCATGTACTCGCCAAACGCTCACCGTGCAGACACAAAATGCAAGGTTGACCTCCTCAATGTCGCTCACGATGGTGAAGAGACCGGCACACAGTTGGTGGTCATCAAGAGCCGAATGTCTAGGAAATCATCCCTTCCCCACGACATAAAAGGACATCCCTCAAATAAAATCTCGTTTGTTGCTGGCCAGTTGTTGCGTTGGCTGCGTCATCGTAACAGTGGCGACGAGCATGGGATTGTAGCAGTCCTTCGCAGCAGTAATGGCCAGCAACACAAGACCACCGGAGTTAGATGAAGCAGTCGACAAGTAGTACGCCTAGAGGCTTTCTTCCGAGGCAATGGTGTGGAAAAGCGTGCCTTGCTCGTCGCATCACTGGGCACCAATACAATGGGCATCGTTTGTGGACGCCCCAACCCATGTGAATCAACCATCGAGGTTGTTGCCCCTTTGAAATGGAGTTTAAACTGAATGCAATCGCTCAGTCCTACAAGTTCTTCATGCGCAAGCAGTTTCAGAGCAAACCCACGAAGGACTTGGTCGTGGCCATTCGTCAAATAGCAGACACGTGCCATTTCGGCGCCATGATCGACCGGATGATAAGAGATAGAAGTCTGCGGCCTCCAAAATACAACAGTGCGTCTCCTAGAGAAACCACTCCTTAGAAGAATCGAAGCCGAAGACATTGCGGTTGCGATGGCTGAAAAAAAAAAAAAAAATGCGAAAGAGATGCAAGGCATCATGCAAGAGGGGGGGGCATACATGCAGTGGGAGGCAAGTGTCATTGGCCAAAGCGACAGGAAACCGAGTCAATGTGTACCAGATTAATCCCCAAGCATGCCGTTTTTGTCCAGCCCAGTGCTGCCATCAACGAGGTCGTATTCCAAGGCTTATTTTCGATGCTCCAACAGGCCGGGCAGCACGTCATCATGCCTCACCAAGAGAACAATTTGGATGCCAGCATCGAGGGATGTTGCGAGCAACAGATGACCACATCGGGCACATCGCCACCAGGGAATTTATACTTTTGACTGGGGCCGAGTTCCCATCAAAATGCAGTTGGATATCCGGTATCGGTCATCACATGGCCAACCTATGTACAATAGAAGAATGCATGGCCAAGGCTCAAAGATTCTCCAGCGAAGCTGACTTGCACGGACAGCTCAAGGTTTCGTTAGGAGAGCGCTCTTTGGAAGGACAGTTCTGGGGAGTCCCAACCTCTGTGGCCATGACCTCACCCGTGCGTTCAACCCACTGGAAATGAAGGTGAAGGTGAGCCTTCAGCCTCCAGTAGAAGTGCCAGATGCTTGCTAGATAAATTCACACAAGTGTTCGAGCCAGGACTAGAACTAATTGCAGGTTTGCCTGCTAGCCCTACAGCAATTCCAACGGACGCGGTCCCAAAGTTCTGTAAATCTCGTTTCCCATGCCTTGCGCTCAAAAGTAGTGGCAAGCATCGACCGACTAGTTGAAGCAGGAATTCCTGTTTCCTATCCTGAGAGGGCAGCGCGCCCGTAGTGCTCTGGTAAAGCGGCAGCATCCGATTTTGCAGAGATTTCACGGTCAACCAGGCGTGCCGCACAGAGCACTTCCACGAGTGGAAGATATTCTGGCGGCATTAATACAATGCCTGCGTCTCCGACTGGTGTGTTTACCGCGTGCAAAAAAGTGGTCCCTCGATTTCCGCCTGCTGTAGTCGTGTTGTCGCTGGTCCTGGCGGCGTCTCAACAGCTGTGGGGAATGTGGCCTGTTCTGCTGCCATTGTGACAGAGACGCCTGGAACGCCGTGACACCCAGGTTCGCCTGTGCTTTTTGTCAGGAACGACCAACCGCCCGCGACATGCATGACACTCCGGCTTCTGCGATGTGATTTGTTGCCACTTGGGGACCAGTTTTGATACATGGGCGGGACGGGACGCACACCGGTCAGAGACGTGCTCCAGGCAATGAATGCTGTGCTGCAAGCACAGGAGGCTCAAGGACAGGACGATGGAGAGGACCTTCTTGATGTCTGTGTCAGTTACGTCAGACCACACGTCGGACTTTGGGGTCGGTGCAGTCGTCCAACTCAAAACTGGCTTGGTCTATGCGATACAGAAGCTGGTTTGGGGCAATGATCGAAATTGTTTTCGAGTCGTCAAGGTTGATTGGAGCCTAACCGTCCGGGTTCAGTTCCAAGCAGTGCCTAATTCCGCCAGCTGCATCTTCAACTTGATTGTCTGCGTTAACAGCTAGGCTCCCACTTTGGTTTCATGCCCTTGCAAAGCCTGTAGAATCCACGGAGGGATCGCTTAAACGTCCTGCCTTTCACCCTTGTTTTGCTTAGACCGAAAAATTCTGCAAGAACAGTCATATTTTTCTCGCTAACTATTTATGGGCTCAAAATTCCGAAACATCACCCACCCCCATGAATTAACAGCGTGACTTCCGGTACTCGTACGTATGACGAGAGCTAGGAGCAGCTTCCAGCGGATTTATGAAACCTTGGAACGCGAGTTTGCCATGTCCGCAAGCTTTGTGTGCAATGTCGGTTACTGTGACATGCAAGTTGGTAGAGGGTTCCCGCGTGTTTATTTATGTTTCTTGCATCGTGAAACGCCAATCTGCCGTGCCTGCAATTCGTGGCACGAGTTTCATTTCATTTACTGACCTTAAAAGCATCTATTGGTAGATGCACTAGAAGAGGGGGGAATGACAAGAATGGGGGAGAAGTTGTGACTGATACAGATATGAGAAACTTAAAAAAAAAAAAAAATCTTATTCACCAACGCAACAACAAAAACGCCTAAGTGTACAAAAGAGGAAAACTTGCAATGAATTGCACACACATTATGGAACTCAAACAGTACAAACACTGAAGTTAACAATAATTAAAAAAAACGTCATGGACTAGCAGCTAGGTAAACAAAACAACTCTTCCTAACTATGTTTAAACAATATTGGGTCAGATAAAACCACAACATCACTGAGGAGACTATTCCATTCCTTTATGGGAATGGTGAAAACTAGGGGTGTGCGAATTGGGGAGGAGAAACCGTGACGCCCCAAGAGGGTTAACTTTAGAACTACACGGATGGGGAAAAGAAATACAATGACTCTGCGCTCGGCCGACATAACCGAATGCGGCGTCAGCGTTCGGCTGTAGTTTGTGTTCTCCGATGAGGGGGGGGAGTTTTTGAGGTGGTACTTGCCCATAGCTCTCAGATTGCGCAAAAAGGCAGACAAATCACGACACTTTGACACGAATCGAAGAACAAAAGGAAACCTCCCCGGAGCGTACAGTGGCGTTCGGAAACCTGAGTGCATGTGCGAGCCGAGCCCGCTGAATCCCCATTCCTCCTGCTTGCCACGGAACCTGACATATCCTTTATCTTTTCTCAAGGCCTTGCCGCAACGTAAATGCATCCCGACAGTGCAGCCGACCACGATCAAGGTCGGCAGCCATTGTTCCATACGGTGATACGGATGAGTGGAGAGCAAATATCGGGGATGCGGAGACAAAACCACTACGTGCTCGGACGGTGGCTAGAGCCAGCTAGCGATATATATTCATAGAAACTTTCATGCATTCCAGTCGGCACGCCTCAAAAACAAGGGGGTGCAGTGTGTACGCTAATAATTTCTGTAATCTTTTTTTTTGCACTACTTTGTCCTATATACGGGGGTGCGGCCCTTACACGCGATTATACGGTATACCAAAAAAAAAGTAAGGGTCCGAGAACGCTTCCTTGGGGCACTCCAGGGATCACTGGCAGCAGAGAAGAAACACTATTGTTAACCATCACTGATTGGGTTCTGTTGGTAAGTAAAGCCGATATCCAGTCAACTATCAAGGGGTCAATTTGAAGGTGACGAAGTTTTGAAATTAAACGCGCGTGAGGTACTGTATCAAAAGCTTTTGCAAAATCAATAAATGCAATATCAGTTTGCGCTCCAGCATGGGTGTTTAAGTGAAAATCACGTACAAATTCGAAAAGCTGCGTGTTACATAAGTAGTTTTTCCTGAAACCATGTTGATCAGGAAAAAGAAAGTTGATTTAATCCAAGTGTGCCATAATGTTCATAAAAATAACATGTTCCATCAATTTGCAAGACACACTTGTCAGGGAAACTAGACGGTAAGTAGACGGGTTGGATGCATCGCCAGATTTAAAAAATGGGCTTAAAGGGGCAGTCAAGTGGTTTTTGAGCTCGTGTTTTGATAATGACAGCTGAATTTAGACGCCTTAAGTATCCCTAAAAACCAAAAAGTATAGTCATACAGTGATTATTTATTTAATAAAAATGTAATTGAAGGCCGCCAAACCTCGGATCCATCCGAAAACGAAACCACTCTCATTGGTCGTCGCACGCTTATCAAAAGGATCTCGGGCCAATGGCGTTGGACGACGTTCCGTCGCGCAGTGATCCCGAGGTAGCCGCATCGGCCGAACCTCTTTGTCATTCGAGCTTCGATCATGGCGGAGTTCTCTACGCTCGAGGACCTGACGCCGTT